ATCTCCTAGCCTCATATGATGTGGAATCACTCTACCCTTCAATCCCACTTTGGGATGGCATTGACGATGTCGCTTACTTTCTTAATAAAGAACGACATCCTTTGGCTCCACTCATTATTCGTCTACTTCGCTGGGTTATGTTCAACAGCTATGTCTCGTTTAACGGCCGGTTTTTCTGACAAATCCAAGGAACGGCCATGGGGACGTCCGTTGCAGTTTGTTTCGCAGTCGTGTTCCAGTGTTTTCTGGACCTTACAACTGCAGGCTTCGCTCAAATTTCTTCCCGCTCTTCACCTTCGCTTCATTGATGACGGTTTTATTTTGTGGGAGGGAATGAGGGAGGAATTCAACTGCATGAAACAACGTTTCAACACCCTTCATCCTTCAATCCGGCTGACCTGGGTGATTTCAGAAACTTCTATGGATTTTCTGGATCTTACGGTGTTTAAAGGAAAAAGGTTTCAAGATTCTGGCATTTTGGACATGAAGCTGTTTCAAAAGCCGATGAATCGGTACATTTACCTTCCGTTTAAGTCCTATCATACTCGATCTACGAAGCCGGGTTTAATTCGGAGCGAGCTGCAAAGATTTCTTTTGCGCTCCTCTTCACGAGCAGACTTCTTCAATTCCCGCGCACTTTTCTTCGCTTGCCTTAGAGCACGTGGGTACCCGGAAAAGTTTTTACTACCGGTGTTTAAGTCGGTTTCTTTTGCTAACCGTGGGGAACTTCTTCAACGCACCTCTTCATTTCAATTTTCTGCGAACCGTGGCCCCCTAGTGCTGAAACTTCTTCTCAACCCTCTGGTTGACCGTTCGCGCTTGGGGAACATTTTGAGTTGACTCAAAAGTCATCTCGTTACAATGTCACACAGAACTCTCGCTTCAAGAAGGACCATTCTCACTTGGAGGCTGCCGAAGAGAGCTGGAAATTTTCTTATTCCTGATCATAAGTCTTAGACTACAGTATGTTTGTACTGTTTTCTTTTTCTTTTTCCCTTGCCATCGTCGAGACCCCGCAGAGGGATACCTCACGAGGAGTCCTCGAGGTGGTATTTATGGGCTAACTAGTCTTGCTCATTTCTTTGTGGTCTGAAGAAGGCTCTCGAGCCGAAACCGGTTACCATAAAATCTTCACAAAGATTTTTTCAAAAAAACAAGCTCTACGCTCTGTTTTTACTTAAGCGTTTTCAAAATTTGCTGCCACGTAAAGACCTATGGCACCCAAGTGGTGTTCACTCATCGGCGGCCAAGCCTGAACTAAGTGCATGCCTATCAAATCCACCCAAACAGCCAACTGCTGCAGCATTTCCGCCAGCACTGGTCGGTGATGCTGCAGCGAGGTCAAGCTGTGGCCTCCAACCGCAGGTTTGAACAAAGTCCATCACCAGATTCAGCGGAACACCATACAAGATCTACGAATTCCATAGTACAGCGCCCATACACGGACATCGCCACTCGACCATGTACAGGATCACGGACCTCCATGACGTCTCAAGCCGGACAACCAATGCGCCCGCGACAAAGGCGGATTGAGAGGTAGGAGATAGCCAGGAGAGCAGGAAAAGAGGTAGGAGGGCGAAGCGAAGCATAGAACTTACAGGGTTACCAGCTGGGCAAGTGAGCCGATACTGGCAGGGACTGAGCCACTGAGGTTGTTATTAGAAAGATCACTGAGATGGCAGGAGGGGAAAACGAGGGAACGGAGGGAAGGTGTGCAAAACATGAGAGAAGTTGAAAGGGGGTGGACAAGCGATCGAACAGATGAGTGGAGGGGAGAGGGGAGCGAAGAAAAGATGAGCAGTGGAGAAAGGTGGTACGAAAAAGGATGTATAGCAATGGGTGGACGAATGGGATGCAGAAACACGCGGTGGATGAGAACAGGAGGCGGGGCATGACGGAGAGGAAGATGGGGGAAATGGGGTTGGGGAGGGGAGGGGGGGCGTGGCGTCTATCCACCCACCACACGTGCTCTTTTGAGGCAAGGAAGCGGAGAGGAGGGAGGTGAGATGGCGGTGGCGAGCCGGGCCAACAATCCCTTCGGGAGGATGTGCAGGATGGAGGTGAACTCATGGTCTCGTGTGGTCTCCTTAGAGCGATGTTTGTCTAGTGAGAGAGGAGATGCTGTCGGGAATAGAGCCTGAAATCTGCCAATTCCTCATAGTACTGTGTGGGGTTGGGGCGGAAGAAGAGCGGAGGTTGAAATGGTGGCCAGAGTTATGTGTGACGCGAGCTTTCAGTCTGTGGCATTTACGAAGCAAGGCAGTGAAGTAAGGGTCCTTCTTGGTGCCAGCATTTGCAATGTTCATTCCGTACAAAATTGCAAAGCATGCACTCACATGGCGGTAATCATGCCTGACAGGTCACACGTGAGACCGGAAAAAGTGCTACAGTTGGCTCCCTGGGACCACTTCAACCCCCATGCCTTCTGGCAGTCGCTGAGAGACACTGCTGACAGCCGGTACGCATTGGGGTCACGAGAGGGGAGGGGCGAACCAGCACGCATTGAGTGGGTAGAGGCACACGTGGGCTGTAGTAGTAGGACTTGCACCTACATACCATGGATAGCCAAGGCATGTTAATGATGATGTGTCCGAAAGGAGGCCCAGTTATTGCGCAAATCAAGCAGCATCCTGGTTCGCAGCGATTAAAGTCAATCATGAGTGGTAAGCAATAGACCGCAGATAGCCAGAGCACTTCGCCCCATCACAGCAAAGCCTTGTTCTCGTTTTGGGAGTTGAGTGCCGAGGATGGGTGTCGACTTAGGGTTTTGCCCTAGCACCAGTAGTATCGCTAGCATAGCAGGTCAGTGCTTCATGGGAGCTGAAGGGGGAGGGAGGTACCTTGAGATTTGTGGATGCCTGCCGCGTGGCACGAGGAGACGAAGGCAGCAAGCCAAAGCACCGTGGAGAGGGCGAGCCATGCTCGCTGCATCGCGGCGAGCATTTGTACTACCCTTAGTATCGCGTTGTGCAACAACGTCCGGAAAATCTGGAGGCAGTCTGGACTGCTCGGCTACGGTACGAGTAGAGCTCCTACTAGGGACGCGAGTTGCGCCACCACGGGAGTGGTGGAGCCGCGAGATGAGATGAGTGGGAGAGTTCTAGTAGTAGCTGAGTTGGGAGCTCAAGCAGCGTAGATGGTAGCTAAGAGCTGGCGATGCCTGGAAAAGCGGCCTCAAGGTCTGAAGATTCAGTGGACGTAGGGAGACCATCCCGCTCCCGCACGTCGGATGAAGAGGGGAAGGGAGAGGCCTGAGGGAAACGGGCTCGTCTCATGGTTGGTATGAAATCACTTCGTCTAGTTCAGAGTGGTGCGCGGTCATTCAAAACGGTGAAGTGCGAGGTCCGCTCCCTACCATGCTGGACCGCTCTCCGATTCTCCGACTCTCGTCATGGGAGGAGGCACGTTCGAATTTTGAAGTGGACTTGCCTTGGACGCAGCCTTCTGACAACGAGGCTTCAGTCACGTGCGAGCAATGATGCTGCCAGTCCTCGTGAACCATGGTCCAAAAGTTCGTTGCTACCTACGTGTCAGCTATTGCGACACCTCTGCGGCAGCAGCCAATAGAGTGGAGACACCCGCACTTGGTTCTGCGAATCCTCCAAACCACTGGTCGATGCGGCAGTCGCATTTGCTGATGGAGCATGGTGAGAACCAGTTGGCGCGGGAAGCCTACGGTTGTGAATGTTGATGATGGTTGCACGGTGGGGAAATGTCGCTAGTGGCTCACGCCGCGACGACGTAGTAGCTGAGGCAACTGTCCCGCTACGGCACTTTTGGCAGTTAGGTGCATAGTGGATTCTAGGGGGGTGTGTGCACTGATGATGGCACGACGGGCGAGTCTGCAGATCTTGACAGACGCGATTATCGTCTGCCACTATTTTTGGACTGAACGGTGTGATGGTGTCTGAAAAGTCCGGGCATCTTTTGCTGAGTCGACCCACTCGCCCTGCCACTTCCAAACCAAAGGTATCTCCATGCGTTTGCGCTGGGGAAGTCATTCGCTATAAGAAAAACCGTGTCACAAGGCAACAAGTTTTGCTGCCTTATGTTATATATTTAGTTGGCTCACGAAAACGGGTGAGCGAAGAAAGTGGCTCTGAGTACCAGGTGTCATGAATCAACAAGCAGAATAGCGTGGAAATGAATATCGAAGTGTCCAATCAGTGAATGACGATACAAGGAATGGCAAGCCAAGATATAAGAACACCAGAGCTAGTCTAACCGTGAAATGGGAAGGTTTGGGAAGGAGATCGAAGGGTCTCGAAGTAACGAAACGAGTCTCAGAGAACTCCCGAAGGTCGAACTAGAAGGTCTGGAGAGGCCGAGGCGGTTCCGACAGAAAGGTCCGGAACAGTCCCAAGGCTTCGGGTGTAATCGAGCGTACGCGATAGCAGTACCGCTCGGTAAGGAATGAAAATTCCTTACACCACCCCCCCTCTTAGCGAAGGTGCTCTATATCAGTCACGTGCTTGCTGGCTAGAAAATTCGCAAGTATCGAAGGTGACTGTATCTAGTCCAAGGGAACCCACGTGTCGTCCTCACTGGTACGATTGGTCCATCGTATCAGAAAGTCAAAGTATCATCCTTGACCGTCGATGCGAATCCTATGGCTCGATGGTCGTCTCCGCTGGTGGCCGTACATCCGGGACCAATCGATGTCGAGCGATGTCCGACGTGTCAGGTACAAAAGGGCGCAAGAAGCTCACGTGGAACTTGTTGTGAATACGTCAATCGTAAGGTAGGCGCAGCTGGGCGGTCACCGGCGTCACCATCTTCATGATCTTGAATGGGCCATAGAAACGTGGTCGTAATTTTGTCGGGAGTGGTAGACGTAAATTCTTGGTGTCCAATAGGACTAGTTGCCCTGCTACCATGGTAATATCTCATCGATGTAAATCCGCATACCGTCGGGCAGTAGCGTTCGCCTTGCGGATCAGTTCGACAGCTTTGTCTCAGGGAGTCTGTAATTCTTCGACGAACTGCTGCGACCGTGGCACTTGACTCTCAACGTTGGTAGAGATAGGTACTGTCGGGTCCATCCCGTAATTGAGGTAAAACGGGGAGTGATCAGTCAAAGCTGAGGGCGCATTGTTGTAGGAAAATTCCAACATGGGAAGTGCGTCCTCCCATTTGTTTCGGTCGGAGCAGTTTGTCCGAATCAGCTGCTCCATCGTTTGATTTGTCCTCTCTGTCTGACCATCCGTTTGGGGATGATAAGCGGATGAGAATTGCAGGCGCGTGCCGTACCGAGCCCATGTGTCCTGCCAAAATTTCGACGTGAACTTCGGATCGCGATTGCTGATGATTGCTGCTGGTATCCCGTGTAGATTAACAATGGCCGAGATGAACAGTCGCGCAGTTTCTTCGGATGTGATGGTTGTACGACATGGTGCGAAATGCACCATTTCCGTCAATCTGTCGACGACCACTAATACTGCGTCGTTTCCGCTGGATGCGGCAGGTAGACCTGTGACGAAATCCATCGTCACGTATTGCCATGGGCGTTGAGGTGGCTCGAGGGGCTGCAACAGTCTTGTCGGTCGCTGATGTGATGATTTCATTCGCTGGCAGATTGGAGACGCGGCCAAGTAACGCTGCACGTCCGTCACCATATCTGGCCAGTAATAAAACAACTGCAATGCCTTCAAAGTTTTATCAACCCCGAAATGTCCCAATTATTTCGAATCGTGGACTTCTTGAATTAGTAATTCGCGAAGTAGACGATAACTTGGGACCCAAATTCGATCCGTCCCGCTTCGAAAGTAATAGACGCCTTTCCGTGTAGTGATTTGGAGATGGCCGTCATTCACGAAGAAAAGGGTCCATCGAATACCCATGGGTAAATAGTCCACTCAGTAGCGGGTTGCTCTGGGTGACTAGTACTGCTGCGAGTTGGGCTGATGGTCTGGAGAGGGCGTCGGCAACATTGTTGGCACCCTTTTTGTACGTGATTTTGTAGGTGAAGTTTGACTCCAGATAGTCCAGCCAGCGTATCTGCCGCGGGTTGAGATTCGGCTGCGCCCTCAGGTACTGTAGAGATTTATGGTCGGTTCGCACCGTCACGTCTGCGCCAGTAAGGTAGCACCTCCAGATTTTGAACGCGTGGACGATCGCCAACATCTCCTTGTCGTGTACCGGGTAGTTGCGCTCAGCAGATTGCATTTTCCGAGTATGCCATTGGTTGAAGGCCATTGCCGAAATCTTGCATGAGCACTACTCCGATGGCGATGTCACTTGCGTCGGTGATGACTTCGAAGGGACGTTCCGGGTCAGCGATGCGAAGTACTGGTGACGACATTAAAAGGTTTTTTAATGCCTCGAACGCAGCTTGCTGCTTCTCCCGCCACTCGTAAGAAGTCCCCTTCTGCAGTAGGTCGGTTAGAGGTCCAGTTAACCCCGCCATGTTGGGTATAAACCGTCTTACGTACTGTAATTCACAAAACCCAGAAATGATTGCAACTGCTGCAGGTTTGTTGGTGGTATCCACTCCTGAATAGCCCAGAAATTTTTTCGGGTCTGTTTGAATCCCCTCCGTGGAGATCACGTGCCCCAAGAACTCCAGTTCTTGTTTTAAAAACTCGCACTTGAAGCCCTTGGTGATGAGACGATGCTGCTGTAGCCGCTGAAAAACCGCTTCCAAGTCCTTTAGACGTTGCTCCCGGGTCTTGCTGTAAATCAGGATGTCGTCCACATGAATGATCACGCATTTGTTGAGGAGATCGCAAAACACCCCGTTCATGGTGGGCTGGAACGTCAAGGGGGCGTTCGTTAATCCAAATGGCATCACCGTGTATTCGTAACTCCCGTAGCGAGTACGAAATGCGGTCTTATGGCAGTCGTCAGCGAACACCCGGATTTGATGGTAACCGCCGCGAAGGTCGATCTTCGAAAAGTAGCGAGCTCCGCGAAGGTTGTCAATCAGCTCGTCCGTGCGTGATATTGGGTAGGGCGATTTAATCGTTACCCGATTAAGGGCACGATAGTCCGTACACATGCAAAGTCCGCCGTCCTTTTTTGGGGTGAACATGATCGGTGCCGCGAACGGGGACGTGCTTGGCCGAATGAACCCTTTTGCCAGCAGGTAGTCTAGCTGGTTCCGTAATTCGTGGAGTTCGGGCTGAGTCAGGCGCCATTGGGTTCGTACAGTAGGCTGCGCGCTGGGCTCCAGCTCGATTTTGTGATCTTGGGGCCGTTCGGGTGGCAGTCCACTTGGCAAGTCGTCCGGGAAAATCTCGGGATATTCCCGAATTATTTTTGCCAAGTCATCCAGGACCGAAGCGCAAAGTTTGTTGATGTCGGTCGCCTTGTTCTGCTCCGTCAATTTGGTTAGATGGATGGCATATAAATCCGCTCCATTCTTGACTGCCCAGTTGAGGCACACCGCGTTGACTCGCGTTGACGTCGAGTCTGCTTCCGGCCACGTGGGTAATTTTCACCAACCTTTTTCGCAATTCACAGTGCACTCTCCTGTCATCCAATCGATCTACGGATTGAATCTTCGTAGCCAATCGCGTCCCAACAGCACATCGTAGCCATCGAGTGTTGTCGCTAGCATTGGCACGCTGAAGCCGAAATCTTCGCCACACTTCATTCGAACGACGGGTACTCTATCACGTATCGCCAGCGTGGTGCCATCCACCAGTCTCGCGTTGATTTCGGGCAGACACTGATCCAATGATAAGTGTAGTCTTCGTGCTATCTCCCAATTTATCAGGCTATGACTGGCACCTCCGTCGATAAATATTTGTTTTTTCTTCCATTGAGTCGTCCTTCCGCCAGCACAGGGTGGTACACTAGGTCATCCCCCCTATTCAGCCAGGAGCGGTTGATAGCATGTATCGGAACTACCACCCGGTGGGGATGTTGTTTTTCAGGCAATGAGGCAGGGTCAGTAGGGGGCCCAACCGCTACTGACGCTTGGCGTTTCCCGACTGGCCTTCGTCGTTCTTCTTTATCTGCTTCTTTCGGGGGCACTCGTGAGATTGGTAACCCGGCTGGTGGCAATTGAAACATTGTCCCTTGCGAAAATCGTCCATGTGCTCCCTCGCCACTATGCCGTGAATCATGGGCCGTGAATCCTGGCCGCGAAACCGATTTCCCTCCCGGGAACCCGCTCTCGCATACAGTGATGGAAAAAACTGTCCATATCTTGACCCTTTGAGAGGCTAAAATGCGTGTGTATTTTTTATACAGAGTCTTAAAAACAGGGGGCTTCAATATACTAGTATAATGCCTGGTGAGCACAAAGAGCACATGTCATGTAGCCTGAAAGGGCATGTTTATAATGCCAAACCAACAACCACATTCACCAAGTACTAGTCGGACACTTTTGGCCAGATTTGAAGAAAGTATTCATCAATCCAAAATCAGTACCTAGTCCACCTCCCCTTAGCCCTAACCACTTCCTTCACCCTCCTAGGCATACTGTTGATGAGGCCCCTGCACACATCTGCCCCAATCCCATCCCATGTTTCTTGCACCCGCTCCCAAGTCTGGAGCATCCCTGTGGGGGGGTGCTCATACTTGGCAAGCTCCCTTTTGAGGTGTGCCCACAGGTGCTCTATGGGGTTGAGATCAGGGGAGGAGGAAGGCCACTTGAGGACTGCATATGGCTGCTCAGCCAGCCATGCTTGCACAAGGCGGCTCTAGTGCTTGGGGTCGTTGTCATGCTGGAAAATTACATCCGAGGGGGTTAGACTATAGAAATCGATAGTTTGAGCAAGCTCATCATGTAAAATCCTTCTGCACATCCCCTCATTCTCTAGGAACCTAGTTGGTGTCGGCTGCCTCCAGGACCTTGGCACCACCACTACGTTTCCTGGTCACAAGCAGTACGCTATCTGTACCGAGGCCGCCACTGGTGCTCCCCTCAACACGTTCCACCGGGACCCGGTGTCTAGCTTGTTCACGCAGGACACCGCGTCCCCCCCGATCGGGATGTCTTTCTAGGTGTCAGTGTCTACCCAGGTTGCTCCAGCTTGCTTGTGTCGGTACCATCAAGCACGTGCATGCCCAGCTCAACCACCAGCAGACCCAACTCACTTAGTTGCAGTCTCAGTACAGGGAGCTTTGGCATGCCAGCATCTACCATCCTGCTGTTGCACCTGCCCGCGCTGCTACATCTACTAGCAACCCAACTCCATCTGTTGCTGCTGCTGCTTCTGTGGCACCACCGTCTAGGTCACCCTGCCCTCCCCCGTCTTCGTCCCATGTCCCAGCACGGTCTTGTTTTAGGTCTCCCTGAGTCGTTCCCCGCGCTTCCCTCTTCACCCGCGCCCCCGTGCACGCCCTGCGTCGAGGGCCGGCTCCGCCATGCGCCTCACTCCTCCTCATTCCCCCCCACCACTACACCATTGCAGACCTTACACATGGATGTCTAGGGCCCTGCCCCCGTCCATGGGCCGCATCGTGAGCGTTACTTCCTTGTCCTTGTTGACGACCACATGCGCTACAGCACCGTGTTTCCCCTTGAGCGGAAGGCCGACGTGCCTGACGTTCTTATCCCGTGGCTTGTCTCTGCGCGTATGCACCGAGGTCTCGTTGTGTTGCATCTTTACTCTGTCCGCGGTGGCCAGTTCGCCTCTGGCTGCCTCGGTCGCTTCTATCGTGCGGAGAGCATCAGCTAGACATACACCCTGCCGGACTCCTCGGAGCAGAATGGGGTCGTTGAGCGACGCATCGGTTTGGTCATGGAGGTGGCTCGTACCACCATGATCCATGCCGATGCACCCCATTTTCTGTGGCCGTTCCCCGTTCGGTACGTCGCTCACGCAATTATCGTGTGGCTGCACCCTCAGCGGCCGCAGGTTTTGCCGACCCTCCTCTAGACCGGGTCTCCTGGTGGCGCGTCTGCGTTCCACGTCTAGGGCTGCGTTGCTCACGTTTGTGCCTCCGACACGGACAAGATCACTGCCTGCATAGTCCCCTGTGTCTTCCTCAGTTTCCCCCTTGACTCATCTGTCCGGCACTTCTACCACCCACCGTCTCACCGTTTCTTTCACTCTCGCGACGTCATCTTTGACGAGTCCGTCTCCTTCTACCACCGCTTTCTCCACTGTGGTCCCCTGGTTACTCCCACCCTGTTCCTGGTTCCCCCTTCCCCGGTCGACCCTGCTCCTCCCCCTCCCCATCCTGCCCCGTCTAATGTGTCTCGCGTCACAACCCTCCCCTCTGTTGTCCTCGTCGTGAAGACTGCTGACTCTAGTGGCCCTCTGACGCAGTCCTCGCCGCCTGCCCCTCCCTTGGTGTCTCCTCCTCTGCTGTCGCAGCAGCCGTCGTCGCAGAAGCCGTCGCCGCAGCCGCAACAACGGCAGTTCGTTGACTCTGGGGGTGCTGGCGTTGAGGAGGGTACGTCTAAACCTTCAAGTGCAAGACCCTTGGTGACGTCAACTACTACCCTGGGCTTCACATTGAGCGAGATGTGGAGAAGCGGTGGATGCGAGTGCATCAAGAGAAGTACTTGGAGGCCTTGGCTGCAAACTTTGGAAAATGTGAAGGTCATGTGGCTACTCCTCTACCCTCAGGGTTCAAGTGTGTGAAGGGACCAGCGGAGGAAACTGTTGGTGAAGAGGAGAGGCGCCGTTTTCACTCCATGGTGGGCAGGCTCATGTATGCGGCCGTCCACACAAGGCCGGATGCAGCCTTTGCTACCGAGCAGCTGGCTAGGGTTGTCTCATGCCCTAATGAAGAGTAAGTAGCAGCTGGAGAGAGAGTGGCCAAGAATCTTGGCCAAACAGCAACTGTTGGACTGCAATACTCCGCGGCGGCACAAAGGCATCAAAAGGGTGCGGATGGAGTCGAACCCGGGAGGCTCTTTCTCACCACCTTCTCTAATGCATCTTGGGCATCAGAACCAGAGGACATGACAATTGTGGGAGGCTTCATTTGCTGTGTTGGTAGAGGCCCAACAGCTTGGGAGAGCAAGAAACAAGTGGACCAAGCATTGAGCTTGGTGGAGTCCGAGTACATGGCACTCTTCCGTGCCATAAGAGAGGTTGTGTGGCAGCGGCGTTTGCTAGCTGAATTGGGGGAGGAGCAGCAAGGACCTACCCCACTCTATTGTGATAGCCAGGGTGCTATTGCATTGGCTAAAAACCCCGTTCTTCATGGCCTTACCAAGCACATGAAGGTGAAGTGGCATTGGGTGAGGAGCATGGTAACCGCGGGTGAAGTGGAGTTGCACTACGTGAAGATGACGGCGCAGCCTGCTGATATGATGACCAAGAGGCTGGTTGAGCAGCAACATTGGAAGTGTTGCAAGCTTGCTGGGATGGCTCTGAATTAAGGGGAGCAGACTCTAAGGCCAACAATCCAAGGGGGAGTTTGTTGGTGCAACCCTATGGCTTGCACTTGGCTTGTCGTCCTTGTTTGTGTGTGTGCATGCATGGCATGGAATGACTTGTGAGTCTATGTCATTGCTATCTAGTGCTTGTGTGTGTGTTTGAATGGTGTCTCACAATGTGGTGTGTGCTGGTCAAGACATTAGTGAGTTTTTACAACTCACATGTCAAGTCATCGTTTGCGTGTCGCATGTGTTTTTCTATTTTGTCGAGTGTGAAGTGTCCATCGCGTCGCAGGTGTGTGCAGAAAGCCCCCATCAACTCAAGAAGAATTTATCTTGCAGAACCAAGACAAAGAGCTCAAGATTTCAAGCCCAAGGTACGCGGATAAATATTAAATAGTGAAAATAGTAACGCTACTTCGTGTAGTGTTACATTTCACTTGGTGTAGCCCCTTGGAGGGTTTGTTTCGAGTCTCCTCATGGTTGGGGACTCTGTGGTGGTGTACCACCAACCTGGACCTCGGCTCTTGGGGTATGTGGAGGCAGGGAACCATCTCCCTCTCGAATTCTTCTTCCTAAGATTGTACTTCCAAGACTATAGTGGCTGCTATACCTCCTGCCAGTCGAAGCGCCATAGCGTCGTCAAATCTTCATGGAATTTCATGATTCAACTTGCTGCTGATAGAAGACAAGAGCGCGCTCTAGATCCAATTTATAGATTACCGTTTGAGTCACAGATCAGATCGCTATCAATATTTGAATCCGTCTGACGGAAATCCAACTGTGCTCTCTATCTCTCATTTTAGGCACATCTGAGCCTATTGTGATTATAACAGCCCCATGAGTGGCACGACACACTGCGTGCTACCCTTGATGACTTGAAGTTCTTTCCGTCCTCTACAGACCCTTCGCTCTTCGTTCGTGCTGGCCAGACTGCATTCTACATCCTTGTTTATGTAGACGACCTGGTCTTCGCCACTGCAGACAGAGACGCGCTGGCCTCCGTGAAGGTAGAGCTACTGAAGAGAATCACCTGCGTTGACGTAGGA